TCAAATATTTTTCATATATAGTATTTCTATACATCTAAAGTTTATATACCCGATTCAAATTTGAATTATATCCGATTCAAAATTGAATTTGAATTCAAATATTTTCTATATATAGTATTTCTATACATCTAAAGTTTATAGACACAAAGTTTATAAGTCAAAAGTTTACATACCCGATTCAAATTTAAATTTGAATTCAAATTTTTTATAGATAAATTTTCTAACTTTTTGTTTTTTTTAAATTTTTTTTGGTATACTGTAGTAGGAAAAGAAGGGGAGGAGGAAGGGGAGAAGTGAGCCCCCCCCCCCCCTAGTACATTACAGCACTGGATTTATACCAGATAATTTAACCTCAACTTCATATGTTATCAAAGTTTACACTTTATCCAAACCCACTACACCCCAATTTATCCAATCTATTCTGATTAATGTACGACTTTTATTTGTAAAATAAATCTTGTGGGATTTTATTCTAATTTTTGAGAATTACAGTTTGGGCGACCTATATAGCTAAAATTCACTTTAGACCATATCTTTAACTGTTGTTTTCACTTGGATTAGTTAATGTTACATTTTTTTTTCCTTTGGACCACGCCAACTCTATTATCTAGCCTTGTCAAACCACTCCTCCAGTAAAGATATGGCTTGCGCATGAGTAATGGAGTTTACTGGCGCACTGGAAGTATGAAATTAATGTGCTTGGGGTCATTGATGTGCTAAAAAATATATATGGGATGGTCTATATTAGGACAAAAATAAATTACCTGGTCCAAAGTGAAAAGTTGAGACAAATGGTGGTCCAAAATTAAAACTGCTATTCACTCTTTATATTCCAAAAAGCTTAAGTTTTAGACTTTTTAGACAACCCGATGCTAGATTATTATATGATGAGCGGTGGCTCTTTAATGGAGCCATGGAGCTAGAGAATATCAAAGCCTTGATTTTTCAAGAAAAAACAAATAAATAAATGCATGTCTCTACTTCTTATATCGACTCCATGGCCAAAGAAAAAATGCTTGTCATAGGCTCACAACAACTTTCTAACGTGGAACCTTACATGGTGGCATAGGTCAATGCTTGTGCTAACATTGATTTTGCTCTCTCTCCCTCTTCTCTAGCCTCTATGGCAAACGGACATAGAATCCATCATCAATGGTTACTTTTAGGTTTAAAGCTACCATCATATGGGTACACCTTTAAAATTAAGGTTATGCACCGATGATTATTTAGCTCGTAGCTATACTTAAGTATTAGGAATCGACTAAGAATACTGAGAGAAATCCATTCGGGTGATTGAAGGAAACCTTGTAGGCATTGACTACAAGTAGTTTTTTACGATGAAGAGAGAGAGAGCGCGCGCCAATAACACGGAAAAATGTGGTTCAGAAAAAAAAAATGAGGTGAGCTAAAGTGGAAGCGACTAACCTCTCGGCAATAAATTGAGAAAAATCTAGTGTCGCTTATATGATAGTGTAGCTTTTACCGTTACATATGCCCTCATCAGATAGTTCCAATCGGTGCGATCGTATGGCAATAGAAAAGATAGCTACTACGACTACGAACATGCACATGTGTCGCTATGTACGTATAAAATTCACGAGTGCCTGGCCTCACACATGCTTAAAGAGGAGTGCATCAATTTTAAATGCCTAGCTTAACAATGTCTTTTGGGGAAATCTACGGCGGCTGATCCACACCAACTAACCAGCCAAAAGGATAACAAGTGTATATGGAGAGATTTTTCCATCGAGGGAAGGGGAAGTAGTACGCTGAATGTAGAGTTTAGCAATGTCTGCAATTAAGAGCTGGACTGATAATCATATCAACCCTTCCTAAAACCGTTTTTAACACTGACATATAGGGCCCGCGTACTGCACTACTGTGATTCTGCGATTTCAGGAAAACCGTGCAATATCTGCAGTACAGTAGATGCAAAGGATAAACTACGCAGCTTTCCGTATCATGGAAGAACGCGGAGCAAAACACTAGTAGCGCCTGTTCTGGAAGTGGGTTCCACCGGTCAGCTACAGTACATCAAACATGGTAAACTAGTGCACGGCACTGGTGAACCGGATTTTTTGCCGGTGGGCTTGGGTAGGAGAAGCACGGTACCGTAGGCGTTTTTTTCTGTCTTGTCCTATACCGCGCTACCAGCAATCCAGCACGGCACGCAGATCGTCCGTGCTGTAAAAAAAAAAAAGAGAGAGAGAGAAAAGTTGGAGAAAACTTTCTCCTCACGCTCCGGCTGCGGTTCTCATCCCAGCCAAAGCTAAGCAACGTCTTTGTTTAATTTAACCCACGCGACGGCAAAAAAAAAAGAAGAAAAAACCGGACGTGAAGTGCTGCGCAAGCATGGGGTTACGACCGTGCGCGCAACAACAAACAAACAGCCGGGCCAGCCTCACGAGCAATCGGACCCACGATCGAGCAAACCCCGGATTCTGGGATCACGATGTCGCTGTGTCGCACCCGCGCGGCACACAGTGAACTCCTGACCCTGTGAACCGCGCACTCGCGTATATTCGCACTGTACTGGCAGCGTCGTGGTCGCCACCTTCGCTCGCTCGCTCGATCGAAGCGGGACATCCATGATGCGTAAATTGGCAGGTCGGTGTGTGTGGGGGGGCTGTGGAAGCGAGCAAGCTGGAACAGCGGGCAGCCGGGAGACGAGGCGATTCTATTCATGGTGGATCATGATGCGGTGCCCATGATTCGGCCCCCCAAAACGGTGCGAAATATTTGTCGCCGATCAGTGCCGCGACCGACCGCTCATTCGGCGCGGCCGCCGAGGAGGAAGCGTGGTGCGGCGATGTGGGGATGGGTTGGGCTCTACAAAACTTAAAGTGGCAGCCCACTACAAGTCTACTTCTGCAGCAGCAGCAGCAGCAGCAGCAGCAGCAGTAGTAGTAGTAGTAGTAGTACTATAGAACTGCACTGTTGCGTTTTTTCTGAATTATTTTTCTTGCACTTCCCGTTCGTCTCGTTCCAGCGTTCCGCTCCTGCACAGTATCCGTGAAAATCGTAACCTCGTTGCGTGATTTGATGGAGTGCTAACTTAGCTTGAGGCGAGGTGCGTCGTTGAGCACAAAGCAATGCGCGCATTAACAGAGGGCAGGTCTTGCGATCAGAGTATAGTAGTGACTACACTAGTGAAGGTGAGGCGCCTCGTGCAGTCTAGAGATCTTCGTTGTTCCTAGTAAAGTAGCTTATCTTTTTCCTTATTTCGTGCTTAATTTTGTCGTTACTGTAGCAGCGCCTGGTCGATCTCTACTCTGGTAGCCGTAGCTGCTAAATAACCTGGAGTACCTACCACAGCACGTACAACTACTAAAATGGTGACCAGCATGGCCATTTGTCCTCTAATGGAGGAGTACTAGTTAAGTATAGCCAACGTTCCATTAACCAGTATAAGAGTACATATATTGTAAACTTAAGATAAACGACATTGCAATTATTTTGTTCTCTCCGCGCCTAATAGTACCAGCTCAACAATTATAAACGAGCGAACTGCCGAACTTGGTCTAGTTGGTGGGACTAATAACTGGAGTAACTAGCTAGGTAAGAGTATATGACGCGTACCCTGCAGTTTACAAATACAGACGCAGCCACGATCGATGGACGGTTCGTCAAACACCACTAGCTAGCTACGATATATAAGCTCGGGACATCTCGAGTTACTTCCTCCTTGTCTTCCGGGAGTGCTTAGGTTTTGGACGTAGTACGCTTGGAGCAGGAGCACGGACACACACAGGCCCAAAGCCCCAGGACCCCTGATTACCCGGGGGATCATCGACAGGTCAATCGATTGTGCTAAAACCCAGTTGCTAATCCAGAGAAGAAATCTACATGCAAATCGAAACCGAAGGTCAAACCATATCATTAATTTAATTTTACACCTATGGCGTTATTAATTTGGGTCAAACCTATCGTGCTTTTTTCATTGATCGACAAACTCGGGCTCGCCCATCGAACGTTTTTACCTGCGCATTGGTCTGCAGGGATAGGCTCCTCCGTTCGTGGCACAAAATATTTTCTGCCAAACCGCAACACCGCACGCGCACGGACCGCGCGTATCAAGGAAGCGTAGCGCGATCATTTCAGCACTTCTCGTGGGCCGGAGTGCCGGACGCTCACCTGTCGGAGGGCCGTGTTTGTTTCCTTGTGCAGCGCGTCCATCCTAGATGAGGCCCATATTGCAAGACACGTATGAGGCCCATCTACTGTTTGACCAGATGAGGCCCATATTGCAAGACATGTATGAACTATGAACTGCCCTCATCCAAACCTATGGGTAGGAGTTAAAGGAGTTGTAACTGGGACATAAATATACCACTGATATAAGCATCAAATAATTTGGTAGAAGACAGAGTTGGCTAATTCGGTGGAGAGGTAGGTAACTTGCTGAACATCGGTCAACAACGTCTGTGCTCCTACAGTACTATTATGAATTATAACCCCTTTCATCCTAAAATATAAAATTTAGTACATGACGGCTCATGGTACTCATATTTCTTCTATATTATATTAGGTTGCTATATTTTTAGAACTACTATATCTTTTGATCAATTTCAGAGTTCTACCATATATGCACTTGCCAACGGGGACACATCAATACGTGCTCTTCCACATCAATGGACCACAAAATTCATTTGTGGAGTTCAACATGTCAACCGCTTGTTCTTGTACTTGAGTGGAAACGAGATCCAAATAGATATAGCGGGTGTGGCATTGTGGGTAATCTCGGCCGTTCAAATATAATTTTGATGCAAAACACTAAAGCATAAGACTCATTTTGCACTTAAAAAATCATTTTACCATACACACAATACTTTGTATTTATGGTAAAGGATCTTCATCTGCAGGTAATCACCCATGCATACCATATTTCTATACTAATATAAAAAGCAGGAGTTGTCTCCTTGCAATCCTACAGGTGAAATCATCCGAATCAATCTTTACCGTTCATCCACGTCTCATCTAATCTCATCCGTCCGCTGTACACCGTAGCTCTATCTCCTCCACGCAAAACCCACCGGCGATTTTGCCCCCACGCGCTGACTCCGCCGTGAAAATCCCCACCGCGATGACTCTGCCTACTCTCTCCGTGCCTCGCTCCCCGCGCGCATCCTCCCTCATCCTCTCCTCGCGACGGCCCAGCGACGACGGACCGCCGGGCCAGGGCCGACGCGTCCCGCACCGCCAGGCCAGCGACGATGCACCATCGCAATGCCGGACCTCCCTCATCCTCGCAACGGAACAGCGAGGACGCACCACTGCACCGCCGGACTAGCGCCGAGGTTCGCGTTCCCTCCTTTATAAGCCAGGTAGCCCCACGCCGTTGCAATCAGCGCACCAGCGGCCGAGGGCTCCGTAGGTGTCGCTGCCTCCGGGGCGGCTCCGTCGTCGCCACCGCAATCGGGCCCGCTGGTCTAGGGTTTCGTTGGTGCCACAGCCCCGTCGCTGACCGGTGGTCCAGCCTTCCGCCAGCGCCGCTGCTCCATTGCTCTCCGCTGGTCCAGCCTTCGGTCGCACCTCCGGTCTTGCCGCTGACACGAGGGGCATAGTAGACCGCAGGTACTTCTAGCTGTAAGTCAAAATTTCTTCTGCTCCTGAGATCGAGTGAGACACTCAAATTGACTCTTCTGAATCCCCATTAGTCTTCTGTGTGGATTTTCTTATTCAGCTGAAGGGTATGCACATATATTAAATCTCTCCTCTTAATGGTGTGATTCGGTTCTTATCGATCCATATGTGCATCATTGCAGGCTATATCCTATCAAGGTGATTGGTGTTGCTCCATACAGACTAACATTGTAGACTTGTAGTTGCCATGCTGAATCTCTTCCAGATTATTTTATACAGAAATTTTATTGTACAGGTTTGAGAATTGTTCAAGTTCGATCAGATTAAGGGGATCGACTCACTTTTGAGAATTCATAGATTCATTTGTTTAGTACTTTAGTTCTTGAGCACAGATTATTGTGAGCCTTCATCCATGAATAAATTATATATATGTTCAGTCATTCACAAAGTGATTATCTAACCTGAGTACTCTGTGATATAGCAGTTCATGTGTGTTACCTTCCTTTTTTCTGTTGTCTAATTTAGATCAATGCATGACTGGTTAGACGGTGATGCATCAGGCGGTGGCTGGCCGGACGGGTGCTAGGCAAGAGCCAGTGTGCAGCTGATCAGTATAATGGGTATTTGCCGGTTTTAATTCTTTCTCCCATTTGGTTCAATTTTCCTTGTTATAACAAACCATTCTTTTTTACCTCTGGCAAAGAAAGCTAATTTGCACAAAAATGGAGGATACAACATTTTTGCTACTCAAGGATGCGGTTGAAGTTGAAAAGTTGGTTTCATTGATTATTCCTGGGAACATGAAATGTTTATATTTTATTTTTCTTAGCCTAATAAAAAGCAAATCTTAATTTCTGATTTAATGTGATACTGCAATCCACCATTTGATTTCTTTAGCTAGGCATACTATAAAACGGCCATGATACAAGCTTATACAGATATGCTGAAGATAGGTGAACAGGATGGAAGGCATTTTTATAGGCCCTTGTCAGATGGCTTTTGGCTTTAAGATGCTCTATGAGGAAGGTCAAGGGGATTTTGTTATTTTATTTTTCATTGATTGGCCTTTGGTTGATATATATGAATTAATATACTCCATAGGCACAACAAAAAGGTAATATTAATATATGCAGAATTATTTCTTTGCTTTAAGTTTTTACTATTTTTACTATGGTTACTACTTATTGGTCACTGGTCAGATAAGGGTACATGCATATATTTTTGTGTACTATAAACTTATTAGAGAAACTCAGCTTAGTGTATGCAAGGGTAAAGGCATGGAACAACTCTGATTCTGAATAGGAATAACTTCTTCCTTTTTCTGGGCTAGGAATTTGAGTGTTTACTTTTTCATTACCAAGGCTTATATGCTCCTAGCTAGCAGCTGCTGGTGATTTGACAAGTTTTGGTGATTTTGTCCTAATGCTTCAAATTTTGTTTTGGGTAGATCCAAGGACAAATATATTCTCCAAACAGATGAACTTTTGTTAAAGATAAAAAATATATTTTATTTTGAAGCACAAAATGTGCTATAACCCCAACCTGAACATTTTACTGAAGCGATTACTGTAACAAGTTCATTTTGTCTGCTCGCTGAACTCTACCCAACCATGTTTGTTGTTGCTCCAACCAAAATCAGGAGGCTTTATGGTCTTTGTGTGCCATACAACTTTATATATGAATTTGAATTTAGTTTTACATGGTCTGAACTTGGGCTTGCATTGCTCAAGAACTTGGTTGACAACATTCTGAAATTGGCCTCGCATTATATGGCATCCTGTGTAGTGTAATGTATTGTTTCTATTCAACATAAACATGCATAGTTTCCCTGTGAACTATTGGTTATGTACTGAGTTAATAATTCCTGACAGCCTTTAGAAATGTGGAACACTTTTATTTTTAACAATTTCAGTACAAATTTCCTGGGAGCAAAAAATTGTCAATCACATCTCATGTTGTGTCCTCCAAAAAAAAAGTTCTAATTTTCTGTCGTGCTGATGACAAATTCTTTATATATACCTCAAACGTGTGCACTATAGATGTCGAACATTTGCCAGGTTAGTGTTTGAACATTTCTTATATTATTTTCTGAGCATTTGGCATATTAGTTTTCGACTTGTCCTTATGATGTAGGAGTATCTGAATTAAGAATCTGAACTTCGACAAACATCTAAATATTGTTCAATGTTTTAATTTGCTGTGAGCTAATTAATGTTATGAATTTCTTATAGCTCAAGTACTGGAAGTTTAGAAATTCACCAGTCGATGTAAGATTTGTGTGGGTTTAGTGTCTGAACATGGAATATACTCCTATTACCATTTAAGGTTGAACATGGAATGTATCTTTTTTTTATGAACTACATGGAATGTATCTGAATTCAGTGTGTCATGTTTCTGGAGTTAAGTGTATGAATATGGCACTGTTTTTCCCCATACTTTTACTTTTTAAAATATACATTGTAAAAACGTGCCTTGCACGTGCATTACTAGTCCTAAAAAAATGTCTTACTCCAAGGGCCTGCTTGGAAGGCCTGTATTTGGCCCAAAACCGGTATAAGTTACAGGCCCATAATTTTTTTCCAAGGATAAACTCAAAACGCTGCTTGGATGGGCCGTAACCTATTATATTTCCAGGCGTTTTCGGCCCATTCCGACGAAAAGGTAATGTGGGCTAGAGATGTCACATTTTTTGGGGGTAAATATCGAGCTCAATCCACTCAGCCTTCAACTCCGGCCTCAAGTTACGCAACCACATAGAGCGTGTTATTGGAATCCTGAAGATGTGATTTCCAATCCTAGAAGTTGCAACATTTTATCCAATCGCAACCCAAGTGATAATCCTTGCAGTTGCAATAGTCCTCCATAACATAATCAGGAGCCAAAAAGGTGATGATAAGTGGTTAGTTCAGAAGAAACTTGTTCCAGTACATGAGTGGACTTATATGGAGATGATGTAGCACCAATGAATAGTCAAAGACACTTGGGAAATAAGCTAAGGGACAAGATTGCAAAGAATATGTGGGCTGACCACCGAAGAATGAGAGAGCGTAGGGTGCAAAGAAGAGCTTCTTGAATTCTCATAACACTTGAACATCTCAAGCGTAGTGTGATTTTCTTTTCATGTTGAACTTTTTATTATTTGTAATAAAGCAAACATGTTTGGATATGTTCCACATTATTTGAATATATCTTGATGTTTTGAATTATTTTGAATGTGTTGATGTTCTAGATTATTTGAATATGTTATTATATCATGAACAATATCTTCGTTCAACATTTCTTGTGATCTGTTATAGATCAGATGGCTCAAAGAGCAAGGTGAACATTGAAATATGAGAATGCATTGGTGGATCTACTTATGGAGTACAACGTCTCTCATTATCGAGGGCAAAATAGTTGGTGTATAGAGGGCTTGAATAAAATAGTGATGGATTTCAACAAGTTATTCCAAGAAGCTAAATTTACCGAGAGGCTCAAATACAGGACAAATAAACCCAACCGAAGAAAGACTTCAAAGCAATTAAATCCATTCAAAGTCGTGGTGGCTTTTCTTGGGACCAAAATGTGTCGATGATTAAAACCACATTTGAAAAATGGGAAGCGATCATCGAGGCTAGATTGTACTTATTTTGAATTCAGAATTTAATCTTGTGCATCAGTAATCTTGACCCTTCTATAAATATATAGGAAGATCAGAAGTTGAAGAGGCATGAGAACAAAAGTTTCCCATTGTTTGAGTGCTTGGATCAATTGTATGAAGGTAGGACATACCTTTTTCTCTATTTGATATTTTGATCTTAAAATACTTATTTTATGACATATATTAACTTAGTGTAACATGTCAATATGTTGAAGGATAGGCTTTACCTCTAGTACATCCAACCATGTCAACCTCAAGGGCAAAGACATGGCAACAACAAATAACATAGCTGAGGAGCGCCTTGTTGACGGTCCTTAAATACCAAATTTGACCGTCACTTCATGCATAAAAGCAAATGAAAGAAAATAAAAATGGAATACCTACCAAACTTAGAGGTTGTGGTTATTACTAACCATTTCTACAAGTCTTGGTGAATATTCGTATGCAGGTGAATTATTGAGAAAACACACCCAACATGCGACAAAATACACCTCCAGACAATCAGATACGAGTTAATGGATTTTTTTTTTTTGGGGGGGGGCACAAACCAGAGTAAAATCAACATATTTGAGGCCAACCACTGTGTACCGTCATGAGGGCCCACCGGGCAGTGACCCATGTGAAGGTGGTGCGAGATAGCTTGGCCAAGGTTTGGCCGAACCAGGGGTGGCTCCCCTCGCGCCCAGCTTCCATGTGGCGACGACGGTGGCACAGTTCCCAAGGCAAGAAACCAACATCTAATGATGGTTGGAGGACATATGGAGGCTTGAAAGGAGTTGGAGGAGAATATTCCCTTAAGAACATCCACTCTCTCAAGTCATCTAACGCTATAAATAGCTCGTCCACTCCTCTCTTCCATTTTGCACCAACAAGTAGAGTACAACTCACTTATACTAGCCACCTAGTCGCGCTTCGCATGACTCTGAGTGCTTGCATAACCTGTTAGTAAGAGTAGGCATTGAAATGACCTTGTTACTGCCCATTCATATTTATATAACTAGTAATCGTGCACGTGCAATGCACGTTTTCACAATTTACATTCTTTCAATGCAAAATTTCTCAATTGTGTCAAAATATATTCTCGAGAGCCACGTGAAATTAAACAGAAACATAAATTGAGTTTCATTTTCACTTCCATGGTTTCCAATTCATTTATTTCAACACGCCATAAAGATTAAAAAACAATTGAGAGATGTCTATTACAACCTCATTTTGTGAGGCAAGATGCAGAAGTTCATGAGAATATCATGGAGATAAATTTAAGGATAAATTCCTTAATGCCAGATCTATTATCCCATGGTTATTCAAATGACATGGGCAAAATCTCTTATATTCTTAGATGGAGTTAATACAATATAATCCATTTAGAACAATATTTCTCTTTTCCTAAAAAAACATGGCCAAATATTCCTTTAGAACCATCCAATGCATGTGGTGGCACAATTCAATATTAGGAATTGTTGTTTGTGGTAGCAAAATCTCAATCAAAAGAGTAAAAAAAATGCTGCCAATCTCATCCCTTTCCTAAAAGGATTATATTGAGAAGCCTGATCGGACATGATTGCTATCATAATTACTTGCATCACTTTCATATCTTACTTGTCTGCTTGGGTTCTTGTCCAATTCTCATCGTTGATTCATCGCCACATCACAACTTGGATTTTAACCCCCTGGTTCATCACTTCATCACCAATGTAATGCTATAGCAAGTGCACCACCAATAACATGTCGAAGGGCAGTTGGCAGTAGAATAAATTGAGGATGACAGCATGGGAAAAGATAAAGCAATAACATGTCAAATGGCAGCTGGCAGTAGAATAAATCGAGAATGACAGCATGGGAAAAGATAAAGCACTCTGGGATCATGGATGGATTGCTTACCGGCTAACTATGTCAACTATTAAAAAGCAAAACAAATAGTAAAATTGGTTGTCTGAAAAAGTGTAGATGTTCAAGATCAAGTATAGGGCCATCTAAGCTGATTAGGCACTACAAGCATTTGGGCATAACCAGTGGCGGAGCCAGCATAAAAATTATAGCGGGGTTTAAACCAAAATTAACAAGAGTAATTAAGAGACATTTAAGGTTGGGTTAGGATTAGCGGGGGTTAAACCAAAATTACCAAGAGTAACTAAGAGACATTTAGGGTTGGATTAGGATTTTTTTGGGCCTTAGCCTTTTAGGCCTTCTAACAACCTCAAACAAAGTCTATATTAGCCCCTCATCTATAAACATATGGATTAGAATTTTAGGTGTATTATGGGGGCTATAATGGTATATTAGGGGTAGGGGTCTAAAGAGGCCCCGCCCCCACGCTGTTTTCCCCTAGGCATAACTATAGAGTTTAGTTTTCCAAGATTCCCTAACAAGCACAACAGTAACATATATACAGGAAAGCTTAGAAGACATCAAAACTTGGTCTTGTATAGCTAGTTAAAAGTAGTAACAACTATTTGGAGGCAATACCTCTGAGTCCAAGTAGTAACAACTATTTGGAGGCAATACCTCTGAGTCCAATTTTGTATTTTTCATTTGCCCAAACCAATCATGTTTAGAAGATTCCTGATGCTTATAGCCCTTGTAAGATGACGATGTTCTGCAAGATGAAACGATAAGTTGAGTTTCTGTTAATGACAATGATACTTTGTTGCCTTGAATCACAAATAATTTATGAAACTTTATGAAACCTTAGAATCACATAGGTGACTCCGAACAGTAGCATAGCCATGACCATTGACCATATTAAAACACTGTTGAAGTGTGTAGCAACAGGAAGAGCAATTGTCAAAGCCTGAAATCATTAATATGTTGAAGTATTATGCTCCTCATGGAAGCACCTCTGCAAGTGAGCATGATACACTATAGAGATAAGCGGTTAAGATGAACTGCCTTTGTAGTCCACGCAAATTTTAATCCTGTAGGTCAGCAATATACACGCATCAGGTAATAATAATTAATACACACACCCAGCACCAGCAGACCATCAAAACAAATATGTGCCTGAAGTAATTATAAGCCTGAAATCATTGTATGAACTGCAGATTGTGAATATATATAAACTTGATGTCCCATCATTATGCATTTGTAGTTGGACAACCATGTATAATATAATTTGGAAGACATGTACTAACAGTAGTGTTCATAACAAAATATTAAGGTATATATAGCTTGCTAAAGTCTATCATAAGTTGATTGGTAATATTTCTTCGTTCATATGAAGAACTTGTTACTGGAGCATATTGTTGCACCTGTATACATGTAAATAGATTGATTATTAAAATGGTAAAGCTGAAAGAAATATCTGATGATAATTTAAATATATGAATAGTACATATATAGAAAGGTTGAGTAGTCGTGCAATGATAGGTGTAATTTATAAAAATATAGACATAATGTCCATACTAAAGTGTATGATTTAGAAGGATAGCAGTCAAATATTTTATTTCATTTCCATATTATGTTAGTTGGATAGAAGTATAATAGTTTGATAATTGTGGGCAATGAGATGGAATTTGTCTTCCATAAATTCGTAAAGTATAAGTGCTGAACATTATGAAATAAAAGAATGAAAGTAAATAGTTTATTAATAATATATCACCTGACAAGAGGTATAATAGTTTGATAGTTGTTGCTAGGAGGTAGAACCTGTGCTTCATATATTCCAAAAACACCACCTAGTTATAGAATAGATTGAACATAAGATTTATGTTCAGTAGATTAAATGCTTTATGATTTATTTCAAAATTATGCTGGTGATTAAATGCTTTAAGAAGTCTAACAACACATATTGATGGTCCTAAAGTTTTACATAATGTGTTCTATATTTTAGCTGTTATACTTTTACTACTCCTTGTACAAATTTATAATACAATTACTATAAAAGATCTATAATTTGTCCATAAAGAAATTTGGCATGTAAACGTGGCACTTACCTTAGTAGAAGAACATATGCATGGTATTCATGATTCATACTAACCAAAAGTATTAGTGATAGAAAGTGGCACCATTCAAAATATTGATTTGAGTTGCAGAGGAATAATGAACATATTATATTCAAACCATCCTTTTATTTTCAAATTATAAAAGGTTTGACGCATTATAATGTGTTAAGTTTAAAAATTTAGAAGGTTATTGTACCTTAGTTGGTAGTTAGGTTTTTGTTGCCCTCCGATCAGATGTAAGAGTTATGTAAACCAGAGAGTTTTCTTCAGTGAAAAAGTTGTGCAATATATAAATCATATAATAATTTAATGATAAACTATAAGTAGATTTAATTTGGATAGTCTTCTTCTCATTTTTATATGAGAGAATCTCGATGGTTTTTTATCCTTGCCTTTTTCTGTTATAATGTGTTAAGTTTAAGACTTTAGAAGGTTATTGTACCTTAGTTGGTAGTTAGGTTTTTGTTGCCCTCCGATCAGATGTAAGAGTTGTGTAAACCAGAGAGTTTTCTTCAGTGAAAAAGTTGTGCAATATATAAATCATATAATAATTTAATGATAAACTATAAGTAGATTTAATTTGGGTAGTCTTCTTCTCATTTTTATATGAGAGAATCTCGATGGTTTTTTATCCCTGCCTTTTTCTGCTATCTTCCGGATGGTTTTTTTAAATATTTGTTTGACTAAGCTACTTTGACTAACACTGTTATATGACCTTTCATCTGGAACTATCCTGATAGCTGATTGGTGTATTATCCCGATGATCTAACGGTCCACTTTTCTTCCCACTATCATCCTAGGGCTATTGTTATTCAGGTGACGTGGCTCATCCTTGTTGGAGAGAGCTTGTTGCTTTCACATATGTAGATACTTAGGCATTGCTCTAGTAGAGTAGGAATTGAGTGAGGGGAGTTCCGGAGATGTTGTCACTCTCTCCGATCTTGTACCTCGACGAATGCTTCTTTTATAAGTGTATTCATGATCTCCTTTAGTTGTTATTTTTTTATTTAAGTAAGATATATTCTCATTGTTGTGTGTGCATCGCTCTGCTTAGATAGAGTACCTTAGTTTTAGTTCATAGCAAGATAAAGGTAGTAATAAATAGCATAGACACGGTGTTAGGCTAGAGGCTAGGACTCCATGAGTCGTAGAGATAGGCGGCATGTGATGACAACCCTGTGATGCTAACATTGCCTATGCTAAAACTGAGCTAATGCTCAAATTTAGGCTCCTTAATATGAGATATTTATTTATAGTACATATCAAATATTGCTAATTGGATCTTGGTCCTTCATGAGTTGTTGAAAAATTAAAATGCTAATCGCTTGTAGCCTGACTGGATGATTGTAACTTTCTGCTTTCTGCTTCCTTTGCAGTTCATATTTTTTTGCCCGACTTTCATTCACTTTTAACACTAAAATTTGCAGGTTAACAGTTCGTGGGTGAACTGCAATGTGTTGAATAGTCTCACATTGGTTGTGGAAGGGCAAAGGACCTAAGATATAAGTGGGGGGAGCCCCTCACCTCAATGGCTAGCTTTTGGGGTGGGAAATGCTCTTTACGATCCTACAATTAGTATCAGAGCCTGGCTAGGTTAACATCTCTGGCCCGATGGACACAGTGTGTGAAGGCCTGATGGACCGTGGGTGCCTGCGGAGTCCGTATACCTGATGGACCGTGGGTGTGGGGCCCGTATACGGTGAAGGGGCGGTGAAGGGCTGAGGGACACCAATGTGTGAAGGGGGAGACTGTTGAATAGTCCGATATTGGTTGTGAAAGGGCAAAGGACCTAAGATATAAGTGGGGGAGCCCCTCACCTCAATGGCTAGCTTTTGGTTGTAAAAGGGCAAATGACCTAAGATATAAGTGGGGAGCCCCTCACCTCAATGTCTAGTTTTTGGGGTGGGAAATGCCCTTTACGATCCTACACAATGAATATATGAAGATTTCACATCTGCAACACATGGCCATTTTGTAATGAGGAAAGCATGTTGTACTGGTTGAACAAATGGCCAAGCAACACAAACTACAAGAGAACTTGTCATCCTTATAATAGTTCATAACATGAAAATAGTCTTGCTAGAACAATTATTGAACAAATGGCCAAGTGACACAAACTACAAGAGAACTTGTCATCCTTATAATAGTTAAACCGTTGTGTTTCTTTCTTCTCCTATGTATTCGGCAGGAGTTTAGAATTTGGTGCTCAATTCTTGTCATATATACCGAAAGGAAAACTGCTAGTATTCCACGTTATTATTTTGACATGCATGTAGTTTGCAATATATTACTTTGATATGAATGTGTTCTGCAATATAGTACTCTAACATGGATAATGGTGTGTATACCAACATGCCCAGATGCAGCATGTTGTTCAATTCATCAGTTCATGACAGTGCTGAGTTTTCAGGGGTAGCGTTTACCCAAACAAGAAAAAAAAATCGAGGTGTATTTACAATACAGCTGGAAAGATCACAAGGATTATTTTCTTGGGGCACTTGAAAATACAAGTGTAAAGTTTTTACACTTATAATTTTTTTCAATGTTTCCAGGCAGGCCTCTAATCTTACGAATTCTTTACCATTAGATCAAATATAGCGATACACGAAGCTCCCTAATTTCCTCTTTTATCTTCTCCACCACCTTCTTCACTTTCTTGATTTGCCGCTAGCCACATGCAGTCAGAGGCACTCTGCGACCCTCTGCCTTGCATCGGCGAGGCCCGCTAGCTAGCCCAAGACCTCCACCCCTCCGACTCTATTTTTCTTTTCCCTTAAAGCTAGCCTATCTCCCCCGTGTGGAAACGGATCCCCTGACTTTGTGTAGTTTACAGTTATGGCACTGACATGTGGACCTTACCAATGTATGGCCCACATGTCAGTATCGCAACTGTAAACTGCATAAAGTTATAAAGTTATAGGGGAGTCTCATTCCCCCCTTATGGTTCCTCCCATTCTACCATTTTCTCTTTCTCTGGCGTTATTTATGCCCCTCCTACCTTCATTGCTTTCCACTGTCCCTAAAGCTCCTAAGGCTGTGTTCTTTGGTCTGTGTTCACAACCCCTCTCCCTTGTATTTCGCATACACGCTTTTCAAACTACTAAACGGTGCGTTTTTTAAAAAAGTTTCTATCCGAAAGTTGTTTAAAAAATCATATTGATCCAACTTTGAAAGAAAGTTAATACTTAATTAATTACGTGCTAATGGAACACTCCGTTTTCTGTGCGGAGGAGATGGGTTCCTAACCCGAACAAACGAACGCAGCCTAATGCTAGAGAACTCCTCCAACTCCCACTCAGCAGAGTTTATGGAGCGGTCAGCCACGCACTAATCATCTAACATGAGATCCGAACAATTTATACGCTACGTACTTCTTCGAATGAATCAATACATCTTTGGTCTCTTCATATAATGCCAATTGTACATTTTTTACGTACATAATACCAGGGGCGGAGACAGCGTGGGGGCGGAGGGTCTTTAGACCCCCCTACCCCCTAATATACCATTAGAGCCCCCATAATACCCCCTAAAATTATAATCTATATATTCATATATGAGGGGCTAATATAGACTTTGTTTGAGGTTGTTAAAATGCTTAAAAGGCTAAAAAGGCTAAAAAAGTCCTAAAACCAACCCTAAATCTCTCTTAGTTGCTCTTGATCATTTTGGTTTAGCCCCGCTATAATTTTTTCCTGGATCCGCCACTGCATAATACTTATACTAGTCACTTGTCCTCTGTACACCAGTTTCCTTTTTTTTTTCTGCCTTCATTTGAAACCTCTGACAGCCACGGTCAGGTTCTTTACAAGCTCAACCGCTGTCGAAAAACCCTCTTCGATCTGCACAAAACTGAAACCTGTCAAAACCAGCTATAACAACAACCATCTAATTACAATTTTACAGCCACATTTACACAGATGCGAAACCCAAATGATCTAGGAGTAGTAGACAGGTAAAGCTAGCCTTGCCTTTGCAGTGATGGTGATGTTGAGGCAGGAATCCGTGAACGGCACGACGCTGGTGTTTATGATGGACAGTCCCTGCTTCTCGAGCTCGGAGAGGATCATCACCAGCAACCCTCTCCTCTCCTTGCAGCAGATTTTCAGGAGGACGGTGTTGCCATGGATGCTCGCCTCCACGGTCGGGCTGGAGCTGGAGCTGGACCCATCGTCGGTACCGGAGGAGGCGCTGCCGCCATCGTCGTCGTCGACGGTGATGCGGCACTTGCTCTCGAAGGCGGTGGTGGGCTCGGCCGTTCTCCGCGAGCCTTCCTCCAGGGCCTTCACCTTCTCCTCCAGCTGCTTCACGTAGTCGATGGTGCTCCCCAGGAGGGAGATCTTGTCTGTCTGAGAGAGAAATGGACAACCGTGTTAATGCCGCATTTGCCAAGGAATCAATGCACGCCATGATCGGGGCACATGTACACACACCTTCTTGAGGCCGGGGACAATGGTGGCCAACGCCACGAACTGCTGCTGCAGCTTCTCCCGCCGCTTCCGCTCCGCGATGACGTGCTCCTGCGCGTTCGCGGGCGGCCTGCTCCTCCTCTCCGGCGGCTGCTGGAACACGCCGACGCCGTCGTCTTGCTGCCATCCCCTTCCGGAGAAGTCGAGCGTGGTGGTACTACCCTGAACCTGACCGGCGAAGGAGAGGACGTTCGAGGACGAAGGCGACGGCTGCTGCACCTGCTCCTTCTTGGTCGTCGCCACCGCTCCGAACGCCAAGCTTGGCAATGCCGACGAGCCACCGAAGGCCGGGAAGCTGGAGCAGTGAGACGGATGGAACTGGTTTGGCGCCATGGATGCTGGGTAGAACTGATCAAATCGAACTGGTTGCTCGACGAGCGGCGTCCCAGCGAATTGCTCTTGCATCCTGGCGTGCTCTTCTTGATGATACATGTAGGTTAACTCTTCAGGCTCCTGACATTAACAATGCAATAATCATTTCGTCATACGCTTTGCTCGAAGATTTCAGAGCTTACATGGAAGGACTGGATGTACTTGCCGGCTCCGTGAGCCACTGGTTTTGCTCGTCCATCGCCTAATGTTAGCTTGGGCCTTGGTGTCGTCTGAAACTCTGAATCCTGAAGAACTCGAAGGCAAATACACGTACTTCTTGCCCGTTGAATTTGCTTTCGCTGTCTCCTATCTCCTCTTGACTTCCGATCGATCCTCTCGTGATTTATATACAGGCCAACCGGCCGTGTGAACTACTGAAACAGTCTGAAGTCTGAACCTATGGGCATTGCTGTTCCGAATAAGGCGTCCACGTGCTCCTTGTTGCATTCGGGAGATAAGGTGTAGTTGAGGCGAGTACTGAGCACCCAGCAAATATTTGCACGTTTGGCTCTGCACACGCGTTTCAATTTCTTTTTCAGTGCCTTTTCAGGTGTAGTCTGGTTCCATGTTGACATCACGGCATTGATCTCGGGAGATCTGTTGTTATCTTCTGGTATCTTTTTTTTCTCTCTCGACCAGAAATATGCGATCTGAAGAAGAGTTCAAACAACTCTTTCTCCCAGAAATATGCGATCTTATAAAAGAATAGTTCAAACAACTCTTCGAGCAGACCTCAGCAAGACCTGTCTGAAGATTCAGTAGGTTCGACGACAGTGACACTTTGTTAGATAGTGTGCTCATCTGACGACGAAACGAAAGCACTCAAAAATTCGATCCTTGCAGCTGAGTTGTGCAATTCGTACATGGATATGTACTGGCTGCATCGAACCAAATCGGATGGTACAGTAGGTAGCTGGATGGTGATGTTTTTGGACGGATGTGTACATTTTTTGTTGGACGTAAGTCCACACTACGCAGTTTGTGAACTTCGTCAGCAGTTTGCATGCTATTACTTTATACTTCTACAATTGTTTAGGGATACATGTGAAAATGGTGCTGCATTCTTTATGATGAATCAGCAAGCTTTAGATTACAAAAAGCAAATCCCAAGAAAGAGGGTTCAGATCAAAGTACAAATACGAACAACTGTTCCAGGACAGCTAACCTGAAGAAGAAGAAAAAGAGGACGAATCCACCATTGTTTTAACTCGACCCCATCAATGAGGTTAAGCTACTTATTAAAATATCATATTGCTGCACTAGTGTTTCAAGTGTGTAGCTTGAAATACGGTTTATGGCACATGCCGAAAGCCAGCAAATCTGACCCAGCAGGTGCCACCGATCTCTTCCCAGGTCCAGGTGCTATCTGTTCTCAAGTGGGACAACCCAGTAAATATTGAAAAAAAATACTCCCTCCGTTTTTTAATAGATGACGCCGTTGACTTTTTTCTCACATGTTTGACCATTCGTCTTATTCAAAAAATTTACGTAATTATAATTTATTTTGTTATGAGCTGTTTTATCACTCATGATACTTTAAGTGTGATTTATATCTTATATATTTACATAAATTTTTTGAATAAGACGAATAGTCAAACATGTGAGAAAAAGTCAACAGCGTCATCTATTAAAAAACGGAGGTAGTATTAGCCTGTTTCGTAATATATAGCACCTGGTAAACGAACATGCAGTTGAAATGTATAACGAAACATGGTTCGATATTATTAAATAAGGAAAACGATTACAACATATTTAACGTCCTCTTCATTATTTGGTTAAACCTATTACGACTTTGCTGCAATTTTAGTTAGGCATTTGCTACAACCATATCAAAACGATTTTATTAATAATTTATAACTTTAACCCACTATGTCTCGGCGAGGAGCAGGCGGAGGTCGACCCCGGTGGCAGCCCTAGGGGCAGCGGCGGCCTAGGATAGCATCGATCTGAGCACCGGCGGAAGTCTTTCGGCGAGGAGCAGACGGAGGTCGACCTTGTCGGTGGCGGCAGCCCTAGGGACAGCGGTGAGCTGGGAGTTCGGAAGGTAGAAGAGCATCCCCCGACGACGACGGCGGCCTTATGAGCGGCGGAGGCCTAGTAATCCGGCGAAGTGGAAACCGATCCCGTCGACTTATGTCCGGTTGGCTAAATCTGACTAAACAACGAATTACGACGGACGAAAGTGGGCTAACTGGCAGCGCGCAGCGTTAGCTCACCTGAAACGGATGAAGATGGCACCAATGGAGGTTTGTAGCGACGTCGCACTTGGGGCGGCGGCGACTAGACGACTTCCACTCATCAAATCTAGTCATTTCAAGAGAGTATGTCAGGAAGCAAAAAGGCAAGGGCGTGCCTAGGTCGTTAGTTTTTTTTTTCTTTTTTGGTTGTGTGCTCTTCTCTTTATTGAGGTGTGAGTGTAAATGTTCTTGTATCCTTTCGGTTTTGTATATCTTTGGTGGATGTAGAAACCGGATTAATAAAAATCTATTATATAAAAAAAATATGTGTCTACAGGTGGGCTCTATTTGGGCTGTGTGAGTTCCAAATGCATGCCTGACAGGTAGGCTTAGATTCATCAAGTGAACAAAATTGCAGTTTTTTTTGGGTAAAACTATCGACAACACACAATGTTACGAGAGATACACTTGATAGTGCAGTGATATGGGGTGTGGTTTCAACCCCAAGGTCCCGTGTTTAATCCCAAATATACTCATAATTTCTTCATAAAGGAGTGTTAGGAGGGTCCCGTGTTCAATTCCAAACATACTCATAGTTTCTTCATAAAAGAGTGTTAGGAGGACGTCTCTCCCTTCAAATCTTTTTTTTTACACAGTGTTATGAAATGTACACTATTAGTTTTAATGAATTACAAGATGTAGTTTTAAGAAATTTCCCTTCACACTAATAAATCTAAACCTCTAATGACTTAAATCAGAGAACCTAAAAGTCTTAATTACTAGAGCAGAACAAAAGAAGGATTGGTATATTTTAGCTTGTGATCTAGCTTTTCAGAATTACATCATCATCATGGTCTTAACTCATCTAACCACTTCCGAAAGAAAGCAGAAGAGTCTGATTTGATGGGTCCTGTACCTCTCTGATGGTGAACATTGCTGCCCGGGGGACTGAACGTGTTTGAAATTCAGATGTTTTTTTTTCTTTTGCCTAGATTCAGTGACTTGAATCTTCCAAAACCACATGGGCTAATCACCAATTAATCGGTTGACTAAATTTATAAACTAACATTGGCCAACTTGATTAATAATTACAAACGGAACCTAGAAAACTTGGTAGTGCTGCCAGCATGATATATAATGCTAGCTAGCACACAACTAGCTAATTTGCAGCAACAACAAATTACTCAACTTGGATCTGATTAGTTACCTAAGCTAATCACATGCCAATGTTATGATTAGCCAATTTATTTTAGCCCAAGGATAACTTAATCAACTTGCAGATAATAGCTGGTCGAGTTGTAGAAGTCATGCTTGCATCAACTTGGGCTTACAACTAGCAATAACATCTTGACCTTGTACATGTTGGCACATTGCGTTCTGATCGTATTATATAATTGCTAACAAGGTACAAAAAAACCAAACGGCAGATATGCAAATCTGATGACCTGATAATAGCCTTAAAGTTTAAGACTTCTGCAGCGGTTGCACTTCACCTTTCCACAGGGGCGGATCCAGAAAAAAATAGTAGTGGGGGCTGAACAAATTACGCCAGCATAAATCGAAACATGTCTCACATGTAAATTGGCTAAATGTCAGTTCAAGGTACACATTGAATTAATGATATGTCGAGAATTTTGTCCATACCAAACTAATATCGAATAGATGACGTGTCACACCCAATCGTCTATTATTCTTCATGAGTAGTAATTTATACAAAGAAAAAGGCAAATTAACGAATAATCGAAACATACTTATTTTGGATTCAAATAATTTAGAGATTTAGGGAGGAATGGAGGCATAGAGCATACCACTAATTTCTGTTGAGGTACTAACATCTGACGCGCTTTCATATCTTCAAATTGTTGGATGATTTTTTCATCCGATTGAAAAAACCCTGACTTGGGTTTCTTTGGCTAACTTAAACACTCATTACTGGATGGAGGATCACTTTACTGGATGGAGGATCACTGCCATTTGTGTTGCTTAAACTAAAATAATACGTGAGCAATGTTCTTTTTGACATGTTGACAATCTAAAAATGTATAGAAAATAATTATAAGTTTCAAGCACAAGTGCACAACCTCATTAAGACACAATTTTAGACTATCTATTAGTATTAGAGGTTACTAGTTTACCGATTTCTAACTTCAAATCTTCAATCACAGTCACAGTAGGCTGCGACTGCGTCGTTGACTCGTTGCTGCCTTGCCGGCCACTGTGCCGCTGACCTGCTGCCTGCCTGCCTCGGCGCCTTGCGCCCTCGCGGCACCTCGCCAGCGAGCGGCTTGCCACCTTCCCGGCGGCGTGGCGGCGCAGGCGCTGGAGTGCTGGACCACCGCCTCCGCCTGGCCTGCCTCCTGTCTGGCCCATCGCCGGCTCACTGGACGCCGCCACGGCACCTTGCCGCTCGGCGCTCGCCAGCTTGCAGCTCACCGGAGGTCGCCACCTGCTCCGGGCATGCACTGGACCACCGGGGCACCGCCTGGCACGCCTCCCGTCTGGCCCCTCGCCGGACGCCACCGCCTGCTCGGCCGCCGCCCGCCGCCTGCGCCTATTCGCCTAGGGTTAGGGATTTAGGAGAGGAGGAGGTGGCCAGTGGGATTGGGGAATTGGGGAGGCGGGAGGCCGGGAGGGGGAGTAGCCAAATGGGCCGACTGGAATCTGCCACCGTGGGCCTTTGCTTGGAGTGGGCTAGACAAAACTTGAAGACTGCGCTCGTGGTCGTGGGCTGCTCTTCGAAACAAGCCCAAATCACGAAATAACATCGTCTTCAACCTCCAGCCTTCCCTCCAGCCAACCTGACGAAGCTCCAGCCACCACATCTCGTGAAAAATTTTAGTGGGGGCTTAGGGGGGTCTCCATGGACCCTGGGGCGGTAGTGGGGTCTCAAGACCCCCCCCCCCCCCCCCCCCCCCCGCCCCCATGGCAAATCCGCCCCTGCCTTTCCAATTTGTTGTGATGAAATTTGGAAGGTTCTTAGGATGCTTTCTACAATGACCAATCTGTGCTCAACTTCAAGTAATCTGTGACCTTTTCCGTGCTAAACTTCCATATTAACTCTGCGAGATACTACGGCTCTTCTATGGACCGTTCTAATTGATCCATTTTGTCTCCAGAAAATCGTATTATGAAACGGCCGAAAGAAAAAA